TCTTGTTTTGGGATGATTTTCAAATACTAATAACTCGCTTGTTTTGAGTCCAATTAAGCTCAAATTTGAACACAAGCTAGATCTCGACGACCCGCTCGTTTTGACAAGTGGCACACATCATGGCATGGCTCGGAACGAGATAATTTCTAGAGAGGAGATGGACTTGAAACATGAAAATGTAGATTTTAAAAAGAATAACATCCAATTCTTTGAGAGGTCAGAGTTCAAGATCCCGATGTCGGATCGTCGCAAGTATGGGTTTATTAATACTGTGCTTAGAAAAGCTACAGTTTGATATAATTTTTAAGCATGATTGGAGACCGGATGACACGAATTTTAAGGTCGAAATTGACATACTTTTTCGGTCTTCGGAATCCCATTTTTCGGCCACTTCTCAAAATTGAAACGTGCTCAAACGAAGACCAAAATGGACGAAATTTATTTGCAAAATGATCGTGATATTATCATCTTCAATTTGTGATTAAAATGAAGGCTTGAAGGTCATAGATCGTACCAGATTGGTGGTTGAAGAATCACAAGTTTATGGAACTTGTTCGAATTTTGGGTTATTCCTAAAAAATATGTTTCAATACGATCAAAGTGTATCAAAACGTACGCAATAGTTCAAGCATCGATTCTACGACAATTGATCACCCGGATTACCACAGTAAGCATCCGAAAAAGCTCTCGACGCCTAGCAATGGCAAGAGGCCCCTCATAGAGTGATGGTTTTGTCATTTGTTGAAAAGTGCTTAGGGATATTTTGGCCATCCAAAAATGAGATTAATAATTTAATTAATAAAATATGTATTATTGACAATTTTGGGTGTTTTTTAGCATTCCACCCTTGTTTAGTGGTTACTATATAGAGGGAACCCAAGTCATTTGTAATACAACTTGGTCATTTGCAATAAAATTCTTGAATACTTGGATTCTTGAGTTCTTAGCTTCTTGTTTTCACTTTGTTTTCAAGTTCAAGACCAAGTTGAGAGGAGAGAGAAACATTTTTTACCCCTAAAATCCTACACTTCCTAGAACCTCAATATTCCAACTCCTTTAGGATTCCCAACTCCCAATCCCATACAACCTAGAACTCCTAGCTTTCATATACCTTAGAACCCTTAGCTTTCAATCCTATTACATACACCCTATACCCTATCCTAGTTAGTCTACACCATACCCTACATTATACACCATAGTGCACTATACACCTTAGTTTATCATATACACCTTAGCTAGCATATACCTTATCATATCTTATGCACCTTAGTTCATATACACCACACATCAACTTAACCTATCTAAATCATACACGTAAGCCAACCCTAGTCTTAAACCACCAAGACCAAGACCTCTCTCTCTTATGCGCATGCGAAGGGACCGATGAAGGTGCACCTACGCTCAAGCTCATTCTATGACTGTTCTCTTTCCTCTCTCTTATTTTCATTCTCTCTCTCCTTTTCACTCTCTTTCTTTTCTTTCTCTCTCCTCTCTCTTCTCTCTTTCTTTCTCTCTCCCTCTCTCTTTATCTTTTCTCTCTCTTCTCTCTCTCTCTCTCTCTCTCTCTCTCTCTCGTCTCGACACGACGACGTCTACACACTACTCCTCCTCTCTCTCTCTCTCTCTCTCTCTCTCTCTCTCTCCTGCTCAAATCCAAGGCGAGTCCAAGACCTCACCTTCCCCCTCTCTCTTTCTCTTTCCCTTTTCCCCCTCTCTCACACATACAAACTCCTGAACCCCCACCTAGGGCGGGTCCAGCTTCCCTCCTCTCTTTTTCTTATCTCTCTCTCTCTCGTCTACTCTTCTCTCTTTGTCTACTCTTCGCATCCGCCCCTCACTCTTTCTTAGCCCTATCTGCCCCTTTCCCATACTCGCTCATATTTGCCCCTCTCCCATGCTCGCTCATATTTGCCCCTCTCTCCTCTTTAACCCTATCTTCCCCCTCTTAGCCCTATCTACCCCTCTCCCATTCTCGCTTCTATCCACCCCTCTCTTCTCCTTAACCCTATCTGCCCCTCTCTCCTCTTTAACCCGATCTTCCCCCCTCTCTTAGCCCTATACACCCCTCTCCCATTCTCGCTCCTATCCGCCCCTCTCTCCTCTCTCCTTTGTCACCCTATCCACCCCTCTCTCTTAGCCCTATCCACCCCCCTCTCCTCCTGAACCCTATCCGCCCCTTTCTTCTCTTTAGCCATATTTGCCCCTGTCTCCTCTATCATCCCTATCTGCCCCTCTCTCATTTCATACCCTATCAGCCACTCTCTCATCCCCCTATCCACCCCTCCCTCATTTAATCCCTATCCGTCCCTCTCTCTTCTAACATCCTATCCACCCCTTTCATCTCTCTTCCCTATCCGCCCTACTGTAATCTAACCCCCTATCCATCCTACTTCTACCTCATTTCTCCATTCGCTCTATTTCCTCTACCCTCTCATCTCCCTTAGAGTCCAGACTTGCACTATAGTGGGTCCATCATTCTTTGACCTCATTAACCCTATTTTCTCTCACTTTAAATATTATCTTCCCTCTCTAAATCTTATTTTAAACTCCTCATTCAATTTACTTTGCTTTTCATTTCATCATTCCTTTACTTCTTTCTTTACTTATTGTTTCTTTCACTTCTTGAGCACTCAATTTTGGTGTCCTAGGGTTCTAACTCTCGAATTGTTACTCTAGCTATTAGCTCGCACAGTGAAGTCGGGTCATAAGAGATACTGATTCTCTTACACTCGATCACTCCGGTTGGGGCCATCCTAAGTCAACTTTCTTTAAAGTTCTGAGCCTTTCACTACTCTAACCACCGAGCCATACAGTGTTTGGGTTGTGAGAGGCTTTCATCTCCCTCTCTCTTTCTTTCTCTTTCACTTTCTTCTCTCCCTTAATCATTTTTAAGGGGTTTTGGTTTAGTGACATAGTTATATGCTCAGTCCTGTAACTCCACTTTCCAAAACCTCTGAGTACCAAGGCTTCGAGCTTGATACTTTTCCTTGTCTCCGGTAATATCTCTTAAGAGAGGTTACGCCGAGAGACTACCCAATTTTCTCTTGGTCATCTTTTTACTTCCTTTGTCTTCCTCATTTTCTTCTTCTTTTTCTCACCTCTAATCTAAGTTTTCATCAAGTTCTTATTCTTATTCTCTTCTTTCTTCTCTCTCTTGCTTATTTTTCTTGTAACTCTACCCTTAAAACTAGAGTCATTAGCCCATAAAGCAAATCAAAGAGGAGTACATTATATTTGGATTCCATTAGTAGTTTTTCAGTGAGAGCTTAAGTGAGGTGTTGAGTTTAGAAAGGGGGTTGAATTCAAACCGTAATGATGGACAGCCATAGGGCTTTTATTCATTGATCTAAGAGGGCAATAGCCCGGGCTTATCCCACGACCTCAAACCGCGGTGAGGTAGGTGCTCGAGTCCGTCTCTTGGACATACCTATCCGCAAGTGACACACGAGTCGTAGACGTGCTGGTGAGGTCAGGCGGTTGATCAAGAGGTGGTCAATCGAACCAGGGTCCCCGAGGGAGCTCGAGCGAGGTACATCCAAACCCGACCAATGGACATGGTAAACTGAAATCCACTATACCGATGAAAGTTACATTACAGATTTTGGGAGATAGAGTTACTTCTTTAACCCTCAACAAAACCCAGTCGAGTAAACTCTTTCAAATATAGTCTCCCAATTGGGACCATCGTTAATCTCTCATCTCTATTCCACAATTAAACCACTGTCTAGAAAGAGACAATCGTTAAGATTTAATAACCCTCTTAGATGTAGAAACATGAGACCCAAATATTGGATCCCACCAAGTTCATGTACTTATCCAACTAGAAATAAAATAAATGACAGCACGAGAATACAAAGATTTACATGGTTCACCCCAAGAGGGCTACATCCACGGGCACTACAAATTGAAATCCACTATTCTAATGAAAGTTATATTACAAATTTTGGGACATATAGTTACCTTTATAACCCTCGACAAAACCCAATCGAGTAAACCCTTTTAGACCCGGTCTCCCGATCAGCGTCATCGTCGACCTCTCATCTCTATTCTACAGCGAAATCACTTTTCAAGAAGAAACCATCTCTATTCCACATCTAAACCATTGTCCAAATGGAAAACCTTAAGAGCAATCAAGGCTTTCCCTTACTGAAAGGGAAACCATCAAAAATCTTCATGAGAACGCTTCTCTACAAGACACTAGCCTCTCAATCTACAGGAGGCACAACGTAGAGTTTCTCTCTTTAGAAAGCTCACTTCTCTTTAAGGGGAGGCTTTGCCTCTCATGCATAAGAGGCTCCTGCCTCTCTCTCTAGAGAAAACGACCTTTCCCATATAGTGACCCAAATAGGGCACATGAATTCTCTGCACTTTCATCTCATATAGATAAGGTTAAGAATCCACCTCAAATAAGAAATTTCTTATATGTTACATATATCTAAAGAACCAAGAGATATATCCAGAAGCCTAATCTTTTTGGAATTTTATTTCCTTTAGGAAACTTACCAATATCAATCTCAATCCCACATAATATGGGATTTCCTTATGTGGGTGATTTTTGATAATCACTATATCCAACAATCTCCACCTTGATATCAAAATCACCTGCTCATCAAGCCAACATCCATTTGATAGCTTTATGAATTCTTTATCTTTTGCCAAATAAATTCCTTCATCTTTTTTGTTGAAAAAATGTGTTTGCCATTATATTTCTCCACCTCAAATAAAACACTCGCATACTTTTCCATGTGTTTTTCTTCAACCGAATGCAAAAACACTAGCCTTGCACTGAACCATGCATTCTGATACCACTTCTTAGGATTTCAAAACCCTCTTAGATGCAAACAGGAATCCCAAATATTGGATCCCACCAAGATCGTGTACTTATCTAGCTAGAAACAAAATAGACGAGAGCATAAACCATAATACGATAAATAAAGCATAAAAACACACACTACAAAAACACAAAGATTTATGTGGTTCACCTCCAAATGCCTACATCCACGGGCACAACAAACTGAAATCCACTATTCCAATAAAGTTACATTACAGATTTTGGGATATAGAGTTGCCTCTATAACCCTCTACAAAATTCAGTCGAGTAAACCCTTTTAAACCCAGGCTCCCGATCGACACCATCGTCGACGTCTCATCTCTATTCCACAACTAAACCACTGTCCTGGAGGATAACCTTAAGAACAACCAAGGCTTTTTCTCACTAAAAGGGGAAACCACAAAAAATCTTCAGAGGAACACTTCTCTACAAAAAACCAGCATCTCAATCTACATTTAGTTTCTCTCCATAGGAAGCTCTCTTCTCTCTAAGGAGAAGCTTTGCCTCTCATGCACAGGAGCCCCTTGCCTCTCTCTCTCTAGAGGAAACCACATTTCTCATATGATGATCGAAATAGGGCACGTGAATTCTCTGCATTTCCATCCCATATATAAGGTTAGGAATCCACATCAAATAGAAAACTTCCTATGTGTTATACATATCTCTAGAACAATAAGATATATCTAGAGGCCTAATATTTTTTTAATTCTATTTCTTTTAGGGAACTTATCAATATCATTCTCAATCCCACATAATATGGGATTTTTTTATGTGAGTGATTTTGGATAATCATTATATCCAACAACTATCTCTATTCTTTTCAATTTCTTTTAAGAAACTTATCAATATCAATATCAATCCCACATAATATGGGATTTCCTTATGTAAGTGATTTTGGAAAATTACCATATCCAACAATCTCCACCTTGATATCAAAATTACATGCTCACCATGCCAACCTCCATTGGATAGCATTATGATTACTTCATCTTTTGCCAAATAAATTCCTTAATCATTTTTATTGAAAGATAGTGCTTCACATCATATTTCTCCACCTAAAATAAAATGCTCACATACTTTGCCATGTGCTTTTCTTCAATCAAATGTACAAATACTAGCCTTGTACTAAACCATGCGCTCTGATACCACTTGTTAGGATTTAAGGATCATCTTAGATGCGGAAACAAGAATCCCAAAAGTTGGATCCCTTTAAGATCGTGTACTTATCCAACTAGAAATAAAATATGAGAGCGCGCGAGCCATAATACAAAAAATAAAGCATGAAATACACATACCATAAGAACATCGAGATTTATGTGGTTCACCCCAGAAGGGCTACATCCACGGGGCATGGAAAACTAAAATCCACTATACCAATGAAAGTTACATTACAGATTTTAGGAGATAGACGTACCGCTCTAACCCTCGACAAAACCCAGTCTCTTGATCGGGAAAATCGTCGACATGTAATCTCTATTCCACAGCTAAACCACTGTCCAAGAAGAGATCATCTCCATTCCATAGCTAAACCACTGTACAGGAGAAGGACCTTGAGAGCAACATAGACTTTCTCTCACTAAAAAGAGAAATCACTCAAAATCTTCATGGGAATCGTTTCTTTACAAGAAACCAACCTCTCAATTTATCGAAGGCACAGCGTGGAGTTTTTCTTCATAGGAATCTTCTCTTTAAGATGAGACCTTACCTCTCATATATAGGAGGCCCATGCCTCTCTCTCTCTAAAGGAAGCCACATTTTTCATATGGTGACGCAAATAGGGCACATCAATTCTCACTGTCATCTCATATATATAAGGTTAGGAATCCATATTAAACAAGAAACTTCCTAAAGATGTTACATATATCTCAAGAATCAAAATATGTATCCCAAAGTCCTAATCTTTTGGATTTTTATTTCCTTTAAGAACCCTCTTAGATGCGGAAACAAGAATCCGAAAGTTGATCCCATCAAGATCGTTTACTTATCTAGCTAGAAACAAAATAAGAGAGAGCACAAACCATAATACGGGAAATTAGGCATGAAACACACATGCTATAAGAACACAAAGATTTACGTGGTTCACCAAAAGGGGCTACATGTACAGGCACAGGAAACTGAAATTCGTTATATCCAATGAAAGTTACATCATAGATTTTGGGACAGAGAGTTACGTCTTTAATCCTCAACAAAACTCAGTTGAGCAAACCCTTTTAAACATGTTCTCCTAATAGGCACCACTATCGATCTCTCATATCTCCATTACACAGCTAAAGCATTGTACAGGAAGAAATCATATCTATTTCACAACTAAACCACTGTCTAAGATGAGAACCTTGAGAGTAACCAAAACTCTCTTGCTAAAAGGAAAAACCACCCAAAACCTTCATGGGAACTGGTTCTTTACAAAAAACCAACTTTTCAATCTAAAAGAGACACATCCGTGATGTTTTTCTCCATAGGAAACTATCTTCTCTCTAGGGGAGGCCTTACCAATGTAGAGGAGGTCATGCATCTCTCTTTAGAGGAAGCCACATTTCTCATATGGTGACCCAAATAGGGCACACCAATTCTCTGCACTTTCATCCCATATATATAAAATTAGGAATTCATATTAAATAGAAAACTTCATATATAAGATATATATATCTCAATAATCAAGAGATATATTCAAGAGTCCTAATCTTTTGGATTTCTATTTCTTGTAGGAAACTTATCAATATCAACCTCAATCCTACATAATATGGAATTTCTTTATGTGTATGATTTTGGATAATCACCGTTTCCAATAGAATAATCATTCACACATAGTGAAGAGAAAAGTGAAGAATGAAAGAAGGTGACGGAGAGAGCTGGGATGCATGAGTACAAAGTTGATCAACACTCATTTTTCTAAATTAAAACTGACAGTTTTTTGTATTTGTTTTGGTTACATTCTTTTGACTTTGTAACCTTATATGTAAGTCAATGCATATGAAACTTTAATTAATGAAATTTATGGTTAACATTTAATGAAAGGGTGCGGTTTGCGTATATGTCAACCACATGCCCCCAAATTATAATACTAAAAGATTTAATTTTGATGCCGACGAACTTTATGATGCCCTAAAAATTTATTTTCGTCTTTTACCATGAAATTTAAAATTTTAAAAATAATGTTAATCAAGTAGATCTATAATACTTAAAAATCTTAAAAATTGGTAGTCCAAATAATACGCTACAAAATATACTATTTTCAAGACTTAAAATTATTTTTTTTCATTTTTCCATATCTAAGCGTCTCGAGATCAAGATATGTTGTGGTTGGTTTTTTAGGCTACCCTATAGAGTACAGGGTAAGGTTGACACCTAATATAATATTTTTTCCTAAAAAATGTGACTGGGCAGCCAAAATGACTTCTTAATAATATATGTGGCAGCCAAAGAGTTAGCCAACAAAGCGACCAAATCACATGAAGCCCACCTGTAGTTTCGTATTGCCAGCCAGGGCCTTCCTTTTCGCATTACCTTACCCAATAAAACCCCTTATATTTTGGTTAATAATACACCCTTGAACTCTACAAGGTACAAATTATATGCCATCAACTCTCAAATATATTTATTTTTTTCAAGCCTTAAATATATTTCTTTTTCAACATCTATTTTCATGGACATAGCACGAGCACTCTCCTACCATTGTTCACTATCAACCTTCACCCATGAATCCTTTTTCTCTGCCAAAACATAAAAGAACTTATTTAGACATAAATGATCAACAAATAATATGATGAAACTAGGAATAAAGAATGCAATGGAATTTTCTTACCTTTCCCCTGGAATCCCAATGTTTTGGACCCTTGGAATCAACTCCTACAAAAGTAACATCCTATTTATAGCAAACCAAGTCCACTTGTATATAAAACATTGAGGTTCCACAAAATGGTACAGAGTGTAAAATTTTCGAAAGTGGGCGCACAAAATGACATCTAGAGTTAGGCGCTTACGTCATGTTTATTAACATTCATTTAGAAAAAATGCAATAGGTAAAAGAAAAATATATAAAAAAATATTTAATTTAATACAAAGAGGTCACAATTACTCTTATCTGTCAGATTTCAAATCGAGTTGTTGTAAGATATATAAAACACGTTCAGTTCTTGATGTGGACCCTTAGAGACCGGCCCTAAACTACCACAACAATTTATAGCCACAATTGTAGTAGTACATGGACTTAGTAATTAATTTCCATAGATAAAATAGAAATAATGTTGGAAAAAGCTCTGATGTGATGATGATGAAATAAATAGAAATGATGGAATATAGAATTTAGTGCAATTGTTCCATTGTGTGAGCCAGCCCTACTCTTCTTCCTTCTTCCTTCCTTTTCTTTTTTTTTTTTTTTTTTTTTTTTTTTTTTTTTTTCTAATTATACATTCCCATCAAAATTCAGGAACCTCATTCTATATTGTTATGAAACTTGAAGATTTACGTATACTTGCATATTAGAAGATGGTAACCGTAGGAATATAAAGTATGTAATATGAAATATCAATTATTTTTTTTGAAAGGAAATTATCAAAAGATTTGATACTTTAATTATGTTTAGTCGTGGTTGGGTTCAAGAAATTTATAAGTTGTTCGGCTACTATTAAGCTGAGATTATTATGCGACATCTTTTATGTTATTTCAGGGACTTATTTATAGGGAAATGTGGCTACGTGACCCCAACCACATATAAGTTATATATGACCCTGCGTCTTAGTCGTTCGATCTGAATCGCACGGCTACGATTGTTCATACCACAATATCACATTAACCATTGTTTTATTTTTTATTTTTTTTACATAATATTTGCATCTCATCATAAATTAAGGCGAACATGGGAAAAATAAGAAAAATATATTTTATGTAGAAATAAAGGGTGTGGTTTGTATAGAGCCTACCTTCAAATGATATCGGGAAACGTGGTTTCAATACTAGAAATATTTGTGATAGCCTTAAAATATATTTTTATTTTTATTTATGAAGTTAAAAGCTTCACAATTAGTGTAGATCGATAGATCTATGAAATCTTGAAAATCTTGAAAACCAAAACTGTATTACAAAATACACTATTTCCAAAATTTGAAATGCATTTTTTTCTCATGTATATGCATCTTGATGTCGAGATGCTCAATTTGAGAATATTTAGGCATCAAAACAACCTCTTCTAGTGAAAGTTTCGAAATAGGCTTTAATTTGATTATTTAGAGCCTCATCCCTATATAAACTTTTCATAAAAATAAATGACCAAAATGCCCCAGAAATTTTTAAGGGTATTATGATAATTTTTATTATGGAAAATATTTTTTTATTATTTTTACCATGTGAGCCTCAAACAGATCTATACATGCCTGAAAGTTTGCTTCAAAATTATTTATAGAATAAAAATAAATAAAAATTATGAGTCGTATGATCAAGATATGATTATTAAAAGCTAGCTTGTGACATTGTGACTCAAGTCATCTCGGCCATCTACTCAGATCTGACGGCTAAGACAAAGGTCCCCGTATTATATATGTGGGATAGAAAGCTCCCTTTATTTCATAAAGTTAGAGAGTTAATTTCGAACTCTTGTCGTTGATATGTTGTTGGGGTTTATAAAGTGTTTATTTGGACTTGTATTTTAACGTATTTTAAGATATAAAACAGCACGTGTGTGATCCGTTCATTACACATCTCATTTCCCTCTTTTATAAAATAGAGGATGCAACAGATGTATAATAGTATTATGTAATCACTTTCAAAAACTATGTTTGAGAGATTTGTTTCATACAAATTTTTAAATGTACACTCTTTTCATTCTGAAAAACAATCGTTAAAAAGAAAATTTTGAAAAAACGCCATAGAAAGTGTGTTTCTAGCCCAATTAATATAAGCCGTCCATTTTAATGAGATGGTTAGATATGGGCTTCATAAGGATTTTTTTTATTCCTAAAATTTTTATATAGCGTTATCATCATTAAATTAATTTTGCTAAAAAGGAAAAAAATGATTTTGAATTTGTTAAGGCTCAAATCTTGAAATTCATCAATGGATGGTCGAGATATATTGTTGGAGGGTACTAATTTTGACCATATCTACGGTGCAAATTGATTTTATTTTATTTTTTTTTCCCGTAGGATAGATTATAATAATGAAGAGAATGTGTATGCAATATTTAGGGTCATACAAATACCAAAAACATGATTTTCTAGATGTGTGGTTATATTATACTACTATACAACCATTGCATGAAATCATTCCCCTACAAAATAATTTGAAGGAGACACGAGTGTTAGCAAACTTGGTCGGTCCAACTCAGAACTAGCCAGTCGAATCAAAATTGGGCACTAGTCGATCCAATTTTGGTCGGTTTTGGTGGTTCGGCCGAGTATTTTTAAAAAAAATTAGTCGAAACCTGTCATTGGCCAGTTTTCGAGGCCGGTGCGATTTTTCGAACAGTGGAAGATACCCAATACAATAATACAAAGCACTTTCTATATGGGTGATTTAACGGTGCCCCATTTTAAATTTGAGTAATTTAATTACGGAGCATGAAAACAAATATGAAAATATAAAACAAATCTTTTTTTCCCTCAAACTTATGCACGAGATTAGTCCTCGTGTGGCTTTTTTATTTTTTTCATTTTGCATCTGTGTGAAATGTCGGACTGTCCTAAAATAGGCAGTCTGATGTTAAGGACATCGGTCGGGCTGGGAAATAGGCACAGAACTAGAGGTCGCAATCTCAGATCGCTCTCTGTGTGGCCAAAAGCCACAGAATTAGCAAACCATGGTCCTATACCTCAGACCGCTATCTTTGTGGCCTAAAGATACAATGCTTGCAGCCCGAGGTTAGGGCCTCAGACCAGTCCAAAAATGACCTAAGATAGGTCACAACCCTACATTCGATAAAACAAAAAAACAACTAAATAAAATAAAATCAGCCAAATGTTGCTAATTCGGATCGAGGGAAAAACAAAAACAAAACAAAACAACCAACCTTGCGCGTAATTTTCAGGGGAAAAAAAGGCTCTTTTCCGTATTTTGTAGTTTGTTTTGGTGGCCATATGTAAATTACTCTTTAAACTTTAAAGACTGCTCAACTTGATGTACAGGAGAGAGAGATTAAAGATTGCTTAACTTGATGTACAGGGGAGAAGAGAGAGTGAATGTGAGTGTGTGTTCCAAATCCATGACTCTTCTCGCTACAATTCATATGTAAAAGCCGGAAAGGCATGGTCAAGATGCGTTGGTGTTGAATGTGTTTGGGTAAATAATGCATGTGCGCGTGAGAAAATTTTTATAATAAAATTTGCATAAGTTTCTCTTTTATGTTATGTTTTTACTTAAAAAAATTGAGATCGACATTATACATAGATAATCATCATGATGATGATGTTACAAAGAGACAAAGTTAGTGTGATACCATTGGAAGGGTTGTTGAAGGGATACGAAGGAGGTACATGAGAATGCGTTTCTGGCCCTCTATAGTCGATCTCGTAAATCTCGGGATTAATGTTGGAGCTATAACCACCTATGATGTGATCATCACCATCATATCAATAAGCGGAGGAGAAGAAGCTTACCAGGTAATATAATGCTAATCAATCAATCAGCATAGCAAATCAATCAATCACCATAGCAAATCATATTAATAGCATTAAGATGCCTTAGAAGTTAGATAAATAAAAGCATAAGTGATTTGTCAACAAAAAAAAAAAACCTTGTCAAATACCTTCTTGAGAAAACACTGGTTTGGCTAGCACAATGAGGAAGAAGGACATGAAGAAGCTGAACTTGAGGCCTGGTTTCAGCTCCATCTCTTTACCTATTCTTTTCTTGCAGGTTGAAGCCCATGTATAAGAACACCCAGAAACCCTAACTCAAACATATGGAGGTTTGATCCATCACTTTCTGAGTCTAATGGATCCAGCGTGTGTTAGAGAGGGAGAGGTGGGTTATCCATGGATGAGCATTCAAGGCCTGAACAACCAAAAGAGAGTATTTATTTAGAGGCATGGACAAGCCCATGTGTGTGTGAATGGTGTTAGCCACGCCACGGTCACTTAATGTGGCCCCCCTAGGTGCTGCCAACTACCGACCAAAGGCTAGGCTTTTTTGGTAGACTTCTTTTGCAATACAAACTTATTTTGTAGTACAAACAACTAGTCTTGCACGTGCCTTGCTTATTTAGTGTTTATTTAGCACACTAAATAAATAACTGCACGGTGAGCGAAGTACTAGGATTTACATTAGGGCAAGCTTTCTATACTTCATTTAATGTATATTAGTTATATACTCCCCTTATCTAGCCATCAGATTTGAATGAACGGTTGAGATGGTTCCACTTATAATGTGACCCCTTTTATTTTTAATGTTTTTTTACCAACAATCTTGACACCAAATTTTGGGCGTCCACTCCTTTCTTAATCTCTCACATGCAAAAATTATAAACAAAATATTCCTGACTAAATAAGATAACCAAAATACCTCAAGGGTATTTTTTGTCATTTTAGTTTTTGATATTTTTTTTATTTATTTTAGGTGCATGTCATTGAGATGATGGCACATATCAAATTTAATATTCATATAACTTGTAGAATAAAACTTACTAATAAGATACTTTGCGGTGTCGGATCTAGATGAAACGGTTAATATCTTATTTGATCTAAATTGGCCGGTCTGTACGGAAGGAGAAGTATATAAACCTTTCCCTTTACATACAGTACTAGGATTTACATTTCAAAAGTATATAGTGCCCCTCCTCTTTAAAAAATAGAATTCCAATCTCATAAACAACCATTGTTATGTCCTAAATTTGAAAATGGATGACCTAGATATTTAAGGTTTCCATTTTTTTTCTCATTTCAGATGAATAATTTGAGGGTTTTTTAGTTCTTTAAAACAACATTTTACGGCAGGATTTTGAAGTGCAGTTTTACTTTATTTGACAAAGCCTATCCCATATATAAACCTTTTTCAATAAAAAAGGAAACAAACTAGTAGTGGTGACTTTCTATTTAAATGTGTCCCTTCCAAATATCCATATTAGGAATATATTTTGGGCCAAAAATTTCACAAGTCTGTAATCTCGACCACGATGATCATGTATCTTAAAAGAAAAAATAGTGCCATTTTCACTTTAGAAATAGGTTGTTTCTTCATATTTGTGATTGTTGTGGTTGATATTTATCGATTGGTGCAATTTTAGATCTAAAATCCATCTCTAAATATTAATTTTTGGAAAGACAGCACACTTAAATAGGGTGAACTAGCTAATGCACTAAATCCCTAATAAAATATGAACCATATAGAAAATTGGAAAGCATATATAGTGACCATTTACTTTTGATATAAGGAGGCCACAGTCACCCTTGCCAGTCAGACTTCAAACCATTGACTAGATTCCAAAATTTAAAAAACAACTTATCATATTTTATGACATGACTCAAGCTGTCCAATTCAAAATCAGATGGCTAGAGATATTCGATACCTCCTTATAACAAAGGTAATTGGAGATCTCCCGCTCATAACATGATGTGAAGTTTCAAGCCCACCAACTCTCCATCACCGTTCATCTATTGAATGGACAGTGGTGGAAGCTTATGCATTCGGGTTCATATGATCCGTGGATAATTGAAAAACACCAAAAGGAAAATATATCTTCAATTATTAAAGAACTAAAGATATAGAACTTAGATCCAAAGTTGAAAAGGACCTAGGCTTGGATGTAGAGTTTTTTAGCAACATCCTTGGCCACAAGAGTTTCTGTTAATATGACGAAAATGCCCTCGACTTGCATGGGCCGTCGAGATGTGCACTATGACCAAGTCCTGCACAATTAGTACTCATCCAAATGTGTGCACGTCACAATGGTGTGGGGCATGTAATAAAGCACCAAGGACCTTTCTTCAACTCTGGCCATTATACTCCAAAGGTTACTTGTCTACCAAAGGCACATCAAACAGCTAGGACAGAGCTGGATCCGTGGTGACATCTAATGAGTGAGTCACATAATGAGGTTTGTTGTTTGATTTTTTTTTTTTTTCCAACGCACACTTATCCTGTTAGTTCTAGTTCGCCGGCAACGGTACGGGCCTGGGTCGGGCCAGCCCTGGACTTGGCCCTGCCTTATTTCTACTCTCTGTAGGGCCATCCCTGGCCTAGACCAGGCCCAACCCTTGTAGGGCTCGGCTAGAAAAAAAAAAATTAACAAAAAAAAAATGACTAGAAGGACAAGTGAAGAAAAATGAGGGCCAGGCTGGGCTACGCAGGCCCTGGCCCAGCTCGACTTGGCCCTTGGGCTACATTTTGTGGCCCAAGCCCTAGTTTTTTAGGGTCGGCCGGCCTACCCTGCCTATTGCTACCCTTAGTTCTAGGACGGGTGAGGTTTCATTTTATTTTGCCTTTTTGTTTATTTTATTTTTTTTCTTCTTTTTAATTTTAAGTAATCTCTCTCAATATTAGTGTTTATACATCCATTGACCAAATATATTTTTTTGTTTTTGACAATCAAAGTGGTAAGTCAGTGGGGATTTGAGCCCTTACCCTTTAGTGTGAATGGAGTCAAAAACCAAATCATAGAAGTACAACTGAGTATGGATCATCATCACTGTCAAAGCATTTTTCCACTTAATTAAGGTTAGCTACTAGAATCCTGGTTCGTCATTCTGCTTTATTAAGGGTCATACCCTTAATGAGACCATAAGTCCCTACATTTTTTCTCACTCCTTCCAACCATGTTCTTTTGAGCCTACCCCTTGCTCTTTATTAGCCTTCTTCTTGAAATAGCTCGTACTTCCTAACATGTATTGTACTACCTCCTAACAAGTGTTTTATTGGTGCCACACATGACTAGCCCACCTAAATCTTCTACTCTCTCTCATCTTATTGCAAATTGGTGCCGCACCTAAATTTTCTTAAATGTATTTATTTCGAATTTTATCCCTTGTTGTCTTGTTATTCACTCATACCACGCACTCATTTTATGGGTATAATTTTTTTTTTACCTCCCAACATTCCACCCTATAGAACAAAGCTGTTCTCACAGCTTTCCTATAAGAACTTGCCCTTCAGCTTCATTGGTATGCGGTGATCACATAAAATCCCGGTAGCACATCTCTACTTCACCCACCCAGCTCTAATTCTATATACGACATCTTCCTCAATGTCTCCATTTTCTTTTATTATCAACCCAAGATATCTAAAGTGCGCTCTTTTTGGTATTTTCTAGTCATCACTCTTAACTACTTCTTCATCTATATTCTTATTATTACTAAACTCGCATTCCATATACTTTATCTTGTTCCGACTAATTCTAAAAATAGTTCATTTTTTTATTTAAATGATTCTCAACCACTTTTTCTAATAAAGGCACCGCAAAGCCAATTGATACCACGTTAACAGGATTTTCATTTAACCAAAGCATCAATTTTGGAGCAATTAATTTATGTTTTGGGAGTGATTAGGAAAAAAAATTGCTGGTCGCCCGGTTTATAAAGTGCGGCAACATGTACACCAGTGAATGAGATTGATGTAGACACTTTTTTTAAGTAAGGGAAAACTTCATAAAAGATGCTAACATTGTGCTCAAGAAGTGGGGCGGATTTCATATACATATCAAAAAGGGTTGTTCTGGTGTTGAAATTCCCCCCCATTGATCGTAACAACTTCAAGATTTTTTTTCAAAAAGAAAAGAAAAAACAACTTTAAGATGTTTGGATTATGAAAAAAAAAAGAATGGAAAGTATATAATGAGACCATTTACCATCAAAAAGGGTTGTTCTGGTGTTGAAATTCCCTCCCATTGATCGTAACAACTTCAAGATTTTTTTTCAAAAAGAAAAGAAAAAACAACTTTAAGATGTTTGGATTATGAAAAAAAAAAGAATGGAAAGTATATAATGAGACCATTTACCATTGGATGTGAAATTGGATAGCTGCATTTATTTTATTGGCCAAGCTCAAAGTTCTAAAGAAATTTTTTCGAACTTTGTGCATACCCAAGCTATCATATTTCATATATGGTTGTATCATATTACACATATGGTTGTAAGTAATTGTGACCTCCCTTTACCAAAAACAAATGGTCTCATTGTATACAATCCCAAAAAACCAAAAATAGCAGTTCAAATCTTAAAAATAGTGTATATTATAAAAGATTATCTAAAGCATCGTGTTTATATATCTACTTGATCTGCATTTTTTTTAGATCTTTAAATTTCATATTAGGGTAGCAAGTTTTCAGTTCATCATAAGAGTTTTGGGCACCTGCAGCTTCCTACAGCGGCTTGGATGATGTTGTGGATTAAGAAAAACAATTGCCGATCCCTTGGTTTATAAAGTGCAGCAACATTTACATGAGTGGATAAGAATGATGTAAACACTTTTTATTAAGTTGCGAAAACCTTTATATAAGGTGTTAGTGAGGTGGATTTCATATGCCATTAAAAAAGGGTTGTTTTGGTGTTGAAAAACCCTACAATTGATCATAATAACTTCGAGATGGATGGATATAGAAAAAAAAAAAGGTTCAACTTTTAAAAATAGTGTATATTATAAAAACTTATTTGAACCATTGTGTTAACTTCGAGATGGATGGATATAGAAAAAAAAAAAGGTTCAACTTTTAAAAATAGTGTATATTATAAAAACTTATTTGAACCATTGTGTTTATAGATCTACTTGACCTGTGTATCATTTGTCGATCTTTAAACTTTACAAATAGGGTTGAAATTATTATAGGTCTTTAAAGTTCATAAATAGGGTTGAAATAATTTCAGGTCATTATAAGAGTTTTAGGCACTGGCTGCATCTTCCTATATAGAAGCTTCGATGTGCACTTGCTTCGATTATTTAAGGTGGGCACCTTATACAAACACCACTTTAAATTAACATTTAAAAAATTCCTATTAAAAAAATAAAAATAAAAAAACCTTGCAGATGCTCATAATTACGATATGGTTCGAGGAGGTCAGATTTTTTTCGGGGATGAAG